AAAGAAATCTTTGATGGAACTCTTTGGACTCCAGAGGATTTACTGAACTTTGGGATTGGGTGTGCAGACTCTGACACCCATAATTTAAAAAAAAAGCAGCTGTTCAACTGCTTAATAGCTCCCATGGTTAGGAAATTCCTCCTTATTTTGAGTTTGGATCTCTCATCTCACACTATTCCAGTTTATCAAGGAGGAGGATATGTCAATCTTATGAAACAGCTTATTGAAGCCTACGTAAGTACATCAACAGCATTCCCTAGTCCCCATTTTCTCCATCCAGTGGACCAACCACTTTCTTTCTTTCTTCTTGCTACACACACACACACACAGACACACACACAAAGAGAATAGATGTATTTTTTGACATTTGTTGCCAACCTCAGCGCATTCTGAGTCTTAGCCTTCCTGATCCCATCCTTACAGATTCAGCTATTCACTGATATTCAGCTTTTGTTACATATGCTCTTATTTCCATTTTTTAAAACTTGTCCTTCTTGTTTCTCAGGTTATCAGAAAGCTCTTTATGCAACTGTGGCAGTTTCACCTGGTGTTTTCCACCTTTTTGGGGGGAGGGCATTGTTTGTATTTGGACCTTAATTATTTCACTTTTCAGTATTTTCCAGTCCTCCTGAACTATTTTTATCTTCAGGATTTCTTTCCATGGAATCCTTCCTACGGTTTCCCTCAGCTTATTGAAATCAGCTCTCTTCAAATCTAGGACTTTAATCCAACTCCCTTCAATTCTCTCTTGGTGTAATACAGTAAATTCTAGCATCACATGGTTACTCTCTCCTAAGGTTCCTACAACTTCCACTTTGTGGGTGCTCCATCCATGGAGGTTTTCAAGAAAAGACTGGATGGCCATTTGCCCAGAATGGTATGAGGATTCCTGCACTGGGCAGGGGGTAGGACTAGAAGACTCCAAGGTCCCTCCCAACACTATGCTTCTATGATTCTTCTACATTTTTCTGCTACTTAAGTATTAAGTCCAGTACAGCTGATCCCCTAGATCGGTGCTTCTCAACCTTGGCCATTTTAAGATGTGTGGACTTTAAATCTCAGAATTCTCCAGCCACCCAGAATTCTGGGAGTTGAAGTCCACACATCTTAAAATGGCTAAGGCTGAGAAACACTACCCTAGATCCTTCCTTCTTAACAAAACTGGCTGCAAGGCACATCAAGTACCTGTCGACTTTCCCACTTCCTGAAGAGTTTGATCGATTGATGATTGATTACATGCCATCAAGTCATTGTCGACTCTTAGCGACCGTATAGATAGATTTTCTCCATGATGATCTGTCCCCAACCTGGTCCTTCAGCTCTTTGAGTTTGATTCCCACTTAATAATGAGGTAACTGAAATCCCCCATTAACACAGTGGTGTGTTTCCTGGAAACCACAGTCATGAACATTCTACCTATCTCTTCTGCTTGGTGGGGTGGCCGGCGGTACGCATCCACAAGAGTATCACTGGAATCCCACATTTATAGTCAAAATTAAACTGATGAAGGAGAATAGCGACTAACCTGGCCTTAATGACAAGTACATCAATTGGTGTAATCTGAGGGTCTGAGAAAAACAACAGTGGTGTTGGTGGTTTACCTTCAGCAGCTGTTCTGTCGCTTGGTTGTATTTGTGATGGAGTAAATTCTGCAGGTTCAAAATGGTCTCTTGGTATTGAGCTACCTCATCTGAAGAGAGCTCGTCAAACGGGGTCTCCAATATGTACATTTCTAACTTTGCAATGAGCTGGAAGACATTGCACTCGGTTAGGAGACATCTAACCTGGGTATCCAGTATGGCATTATTGTCTATGTATGATCTCCCTTTCTGTGTCACATTTATATGCCGTTTGCTCTGGTAGTGGCATCTGTAAAGATCTCCATTTTATCCCCACAACAAGCTTTTGAGGTAAGTTGGGCTGCGAAAGAGTTGCTGGCCCAAATCACCCCACCTTCAGACCTGGGTCCACTTGGTCTGACTCCAACCTTCACCCGTCCACTAACACTGGCTCTCTTCTCCCTTCAGCTAGGACCCATTTGCTGGTTTGCTGATCTGAGCATATTATAACTCTATTCCAGGAACAGAGTTGCAATTGCCTATTAGTCCCAGGGAGTCAGATGATGCGAAGGGGAACCCGCATCCTTTCTGTGTTTCCGTGCAGGAAATGGTGAAGAAAACTAAGAAGGGAAACAACATTCTGGGAGCTGAAGTCCACACAGCTTAAAGTTGCTGAGGTTGAGAAACACTGCACTGTAGTAACAGGCAGAGTCCCCTCCCCTGGGCAGCCATTTTGTGAGAGCGCCCTGCTCCCCGTTTGAAGACACATTGCCTATCCTTGGCTGGTGGAATGAGTATTATGGAATATCATGGCAGAGACTTACTTCCAGCACCTTGCTGCCTTTCTCAACCACGATCATGATATCATTATTTGTGTCTTCTAGCCACAAGCTCATAAAAGTATTGATTTCCTGGGGAATTGTAGGGTCTGGACTGCCATCACAACCTGTATAATGTTCCCACTGGAGAAATACCAAGACATAAAGGATAAAGATGGAAAGCAGAAAAAATTTGGACGGATTTGAAACAGGGGCAGGTAAACGGATTCACAGGACTGAAAATCTTACAGGCATGGAGATTTATAGAATACATTCTGGATTCTATTTTCCCCTCAAAGAAAGCCAAACCAAAATATTCCAAGGCATGGGTACCTTAGCAAGGGCTCTACATTTCAACTTCCATTGGCTCGCCAGGAAAAAGTTCTCTTCTAACTCATAAAGTTCAGATAACTCCACACCTCGGCGTTCTTGATCCTGTGTGGAACAGAACAAAAGAGCCCCTTATTTATTTTAAGCTACACAGTCCATTGCAGCTTGACTGCTTGTCCTTGAAGACCACTCAGAAGCCGCAACTGATCCAAAATGCAGCCATGTGTGTTTATGGACCCTTCTTGCTTTATCCATGTAGCACCACTGCTCCGCAAGGTGCATTGGCTACCAGTGGGCTTCTGGGTGCAATTCAAGGAGTTGGCTGTTCGCTATAAACTCTTTATAGTTCCGGTCCTGGTTACCTATCTTTCTCCTCTTGTTTCTCCCTGACCAATAAGACCTGGAAGGTCTTTCCTTTCATCAAGCTAATCTGTTGCTAGCACAACTTCATGACTCTTGATAGCATTTCCACTTCTAAATAACTCCCAAGCTATTCAGGAAACTACAGTTTGATTAAATGCATAATTTCAGGACCAGCCAGGATCTGAAACCACACTTTGGTCTCACTTGTTCTAACAAACTATACTTCTCCTCATTTGTGGTTGCACAAGGGGAAAGGGAGAAGGAATGAGGGGGAACATACAAGCCAAGCTGGTGAAGACTGACTTCTCCTTATATTGAACTACAGGTAGTCTTCACTAAATGACCAGGTCTGGTCATATGATGATTCACTTAACAATTGCATCACTTAGCGACTTAAGTTCCAGTCCCAATTGCAGTTGTTAAGTGAGGACTACTGTATTAGAAACCTTCAGCCATGTCTACCTTGTATTCTCAGTCCCTTTTGGACTGACTTTGTCAAACAGAAGCTGCTCACCTTATACTCCCCTTATGCCCACCATATCCTTTGGTTACTCCCCAACTGCATCTGCAGGGGGGATCAAGACGGCAGGGGCAGTGTCCCAACCCTGTAAAAAAAGGGTCAGGCTGGGATAATGATGATGTCCCCACCACCTTGCAGGTGGGCATCCCCTGCCCATGACGTGATGGATTCACAAATGCAGAAAGATGTTACAAAAAGTCTTGCTTCCCTGGACTTTTCTAATAACATGTTGTCTGTTCTCTTTGGTTCTTTGTGTTTTTAACTGAAATTTGACTTGGACTTTGGGTGATATTTTATTGACCATGAGCCTCCTGGGGTCATGCCATGGGGTAGTAGACCCATGGTTGCAATAGATAATAACCACAGTAAGGTCTGAGGGAGCTCACTTTGGCCTCAAGTTGTTCTGTCTTCTCTCTCTCAATACGTTCTTTTTCAGCCCTCACAGTTTCTTCCAGCTCAGCACGTAACCGGGCCTGCTCTGGGAACACAAAAAGAAGACATTGTTAACAAGGTGACTAATAAATGAAATCAATGGGAGAACTGGGTGCATGGTTCAGCCCAGGCTAGTAATGTTTTGCAGCTGCTCAGATCAGAGCGAATGGTCCATTTCAACACTGAAACATGAATGTGTAGACCTACCCCAACGTGACATCTTCTACCAGCTAGGAACCTACAGAATTGCAGTGCCAGTATTTGTGGAAAGTTTGTGGACTGTTATTTCTGTATCCTGAATTGTCCTCTTTCCAATAACATCTTGGCAAACTGCTCACTATTGGGGGGGGGGTGTCAGTAATTGGCCTGATAGTCTTGGCTAGCGTTTCTCAACCTCGGCAACTTTAAGATGGGTGGACTTCAACTCCCAGAATTCTGGGAGTTGAAGTCCACCCATC